TAATATAATCGGTTTTTACTATATTAACATGATTTTATAACACGAGTCGTGAGAACGACTATTTTAAAATTTCACTTTCATTTCTAAGATTTATTCCGAGGATAATAGTTAAGAATAAAAATAAGATGCTAAACTAAACTACAAAAGATAATTGCATTCCCACGGGAAAAGTCAAATCCATGAATTAAGTTTAAACGAAGAATTTATTTCTTTTTCCTAGTCAATGTAAACTGCATAAGAGGAAAGGAAGATGACTGAGATTGGAATTTTAGTTCTCACTCTAAAGGTAAATTCAACATTAAGTTTTAAAATCGGCTTCACTACAACTACCACCATCATATTAGAATATATCTAAGACTAATCGAGTATCAAGTTACACTGTGCATCATGTAGGTCTGATATCAGCTAAATTTGAATTGCTATTAGAGTAGGCAAAAAGAGAGAGATCTGTTGATATGTAATTAGTAGAATGGAAATAGTCTAATTTGTACAGAAAAATAAAGTTTTTCGTAATTTGACAAAATAATAATAATAATCAATAGTAAGCTAATTCGTGCTAAAGAAATTTCAATCCTTTCATCTGTATAATTCCTCAAGAGAAACAGGAAAGATTAGTAAGTAAACTTCCCAAGAGGAACTATTAATCTAATTGATTTTCAGGCATCAATAGATAATAATTTCACTAAGAATGGTACGCCCCCAAAATCAAAAAGCATCGACTAACCTAGAAGAGCCAGTTCCTTGGCATGAGCAATCAAATCATTTAGAGAAAGAGTGATGAGGCCGCTTGAGGGAGCTGCAATAGTAGCCGTTGATGACTTCAAAGCAGTCTCCAAATGCCCGAGGCTAAATGAACGCGTCAGTCGGTGCCAGTAAGCTAACAGTTGATTATGCTCTGGTGAAAGTTCATAGTACAGATTAAGCAAGTGATCGACCTCAAGTCCGAGAGCAGCCGCATCCGATGTCGCCAGTAGAGTTAGATCAACCTGCCTCAGCTGACTGCAGCAAAATAATACCAGCACAATA